TATATATATATATATATTCCCTTCCCACACTATTATTAACCTTTCCCACTCTCTTATAAACATTTCAGTTTCCCCTACCATTAAACAGTACATGCAAGGCAACTCGAACTGTCAAGAGAACCGAGCGCCCCGCCTACCGAACTGTGTGTCGAACCGACTTTGTGCATTTGGTGTTGCAGGAGTTCATAACAACAGCAGAGTCCTGGCTCAGTGTGCGCTCCATCTCAGAGAGTACAATGATGCCTTGCTCATCAACGACACTCTTCAAATGCTGGATGCTTATCAATCCCTGGAGGACTTCTACAACACAAAGCTCACAACGGCCATTGACGAAACGGACAATTACCTAGAGAGACTTTTCCAAGGTGGAACTTTTGTTTTTGTTACCTCAAAGTGATAATTTCCTTTAGATATTAGATTATAACAATCTGCGTTTGTTCCACAGAGAATCAGGTGGAGCTGAAGGATCTAGCCTCAAACCCTTGCTTTGACAACCCCAAAATGGCCAAACTGGAGAGTGTTCTGTTGAATCAGTTCGGTTCAGGAGTCCCATCTAAGGGAATCCTCTTTTGTAAAACCCGTAAAAGCACCCACTGCCTCAACAGCTGGGTCCGCCAGAACAGTGCCTTGAAGAGAGCTGGCGTCAGGGCAGCTATCCTCACTGGGGCCGGTAATAGCATCAATCACATGACGCAGGTTTGTAGGAATGTAGTCCTAATTAAATAGTCTGAAGTTATTCCCTCCCCATGTGCCGCCTGCACAGACTCTTTTTGTCTGTTCGTAATGTTTACATACCTTTTTTAAATTTTGTCCCTGTAGAATGAGCAGGTGGACACCATCTGCAACTTTCGCCAGGATAAGCTCAACCTCCTGATCTCCACCAGTGTGGCTGAAGAAGGCCTGGACATTCCTGAATGCAACCTGGTGGTCCGTTATGGACTCCTTACAAACGAGATTGCCCAGCAACAGGCCAGTGGACGTGCTCGAGCAAAAGACAGCCAATATTCAGTTGTTGCTCAAGCAGGAGGACAGGAGGTCCGCAGAGAGCGCATCAACGAGGCCCTGGAGGAGCTGACCGAACAAGCTATTGCTAAGGTCCAGAGTATGGATGACGAGGAGTTTCGCAGAACGGTGAGGGCACAGCGTTTCCCACTTCTGCTTGTTGTTCTCACTGCTCGTTGTCTCTGACTTCACTCATCTTTGTCTCCAGATAAACAAACTTCAGACAGATGCCGTCCTTCACACTGCACTTTTAAAGGAGCAACAAAAGGAGAGGAGAAATCGCTACCCAGCTTCCAGAGTCCAGCTCCTGTGCAGAAACTGTTTTAAATCAGTGGCCTCGGCAGATGACATCAAACTTCTTGAGAATTCACACTTTGTTAACATAAATTCAGACTTTAAGTGAGTTGATTTCTACGTTCACTTGTTTTGTAACCCTCAAAACTTTATGCTGCTTCATACCATCTGCTCACTACAGACTCCTGTTCGGGCTGCTCTCTAATATACCGTATTATTTTACATTATTAGTGTTTGGCATATATCTTAGATCTTTTAGAGTATCATTTAGCGTTTGTTTAGCGCATACATTAGTCCCTCGCTACTTCGCGGTTCGACTTTCGCGAACTCACAATTTCGCGGTTTTCAAAGTAAGATTGGACATGACAGACAACTGGCTGATTGATGGCTGAGCTGCACGAGCAGCATGGATTGTTTATTTAAAATAATTTGTTTTAAATGATTTAGTACCTACTGCACCTGTGTGCAGCCCACAGGTGCAGGGAGAGGCTCCCTCCAGTAGCACGTCATGATCTCCATTCTCTGCCACCTGCTAGTGATTGCAGCGGAGAAGTGGGCGTGGCCGAGAGCGCTGGCAGGTGGCAGAGATCATGACATTCTGTCTCTTTTAGATAGTTTAGAGTTTAGAAACATTGTTTAGAATATTACAAGTGTGGGAAGGATTTAAAATGCCTTAATATATATATAAATACTAAAAGAAACTACTACTACTGCTTGTACTACTATTCCTTCGTGCTTTATCACTTATACTGTTTCTTTTATACTACATATTTTTGGGTGTGACTGGGACCTTGAGTACACAATTAGGCCTGTCACGATAAACAATAAATCAGATAATCGCATTATAAATTTAAAAAATTGACCTAATTTTCATTTATCAGCTTTATCGTTTCTTCGTCTCTCTTTCTATTGAAGACACCGGATGACAAAAGGATCAACTCCGGTGCTCTTCACTGACTCCTCCCTTTCTCTTTTCTCTATGAAATCTGTTTTAACGATCCAAAATCATGTTTTTGGATCGTTCAAAGCAGCTAAGGAGTTTTTTCCTTGGGAAAAAAAACCTCCGTCTTGTCGAAGCTCCAAAATTCACGGTTGAAACCCGTGCCTTTGTGTAAAAAGTTGTTTTTCTCTGCAAAAAGAAGCTGAGAACTTGTTTACTGATTTTTTTTAAATTAAAAGCTTTGTGTGAAAATTGCAAAAGAGCTCAAACCACACCGAGCGTCCGCCATTTTGAGAATTGAGAAACAAGAAAGTGAGACAGCCCATGTCTCGTCAAGGGGCCTCCCTCCCATTTTTCTTAAAGAGGCATTTTTCTCACTCCCTCACTATCCATCCTTCGGTTCAAACAGTCTTATATTGCAATCCAGTGGACAAAAAATTGTTCTACACCCAAAACAAATTAACATTTCTTCTTAAATTTGACAATTATTACTAATTGTCTAATTTCAAACAATATTGTTGTTTATCACAATAATTTCTGAGACATCTAATCGCCCAGCAAAATTTGTTATCGTGACAGGCCTATACACAATTTCGTTCCACCTCATGTACCAAATGTGATGCGAATGACAATAAAGAACCTTGAAAGTCTGTTCGACGTCTCAACAACCCCTATACATACTAACAGGCGATGTAAAAATATATTCCAGCCCAAGTATAACGGCCTTTTTTCCCTGACTATGGTTCTTTTGTGTTCCCAGAACTTATTACAAGCGTGGTGAAGATGTGTTTTTTCCAAAAACGTTTGAGAACTGGGAGCCCGGATGCAGAGTCGTTTGTAATTACTGCAACACGGTACAGCAGACACTTGGCTAAATAAAATTATGGATTAATACAGCTGTTTGTGCAAACGTTGGAGTCATATTTCCACGTGATTTTACAGAAGTGGGGATTTGAGATGAAATACAAAGACTGCGTCATCCTGCCGAACATGAGCATTAAAAATTTTGCCCTGGAGACACCAGCTGGAAGGATGACTGTGAGGAAGTGGAAAGATGTTCCTTTCATGGTTGAAGAGTTCAGCTTTGAAGAGTACTGCCTCAACAACATCCCTAACTTGTATGATTAAAGCTCAGATAAGCTCAGCGCTAACCTCTCAGCCCACTTTACGTTCATCTCTAGCGTAGATTTAGTTTTACGATAAGGTAAGTGATTGATTTTCAGTTGAAGATGCTAAAACCTGAACACAAGCCTTTTAAAATTTCACCCCACACATTATAAGTCTTACTTGTGCTGGCGGGCCAGTGAAGAAGCAGTGCACGAAAATCCATTACTATTACCATTATGCTTGGAATTAGCGTGACAGGTTTGTTTACGCCCAAGGTTTTAGTCATTTTGCATGTTGGGTACGCATTTCTTCAGTTTGTTTTTAGTCACATGTGATACCCTCAAATGTAGAATCACATGGTATATTTGTTAATGAAGACGGTCCCATATGTATAATATATATGTATATATATCTGGAAACATTGTTGGCTGCTTCAAAATGTTATTTTCTTGTTTGCATTAAGCCAAATTATTGAAGTTTTAACAAACTATTTTTGAAAGATATGGGAGATATGAAATGACTTGTGACATCCACTAGGTTGCAGTGTTGGTTCAATAATGGTAACCAGCTGATTTCTGTTGTATGTACCAGTTAAAGCTCTGTCTGATGGTTCTTAATCCGATGCTCAGAAGCCTTCGAGAAGCAGAAGGGATTCTGAATCCCAATATGTACTGTAAATTTGAATATTGTGACACGTGGTTGTGCGTTTATCCAACTATTACTAAAGTCTGATGACGGATCAAGAGCACTCACCGACCAACTGCTTCAGTGAAATAAATCAGAAGGCACAACAGGAAGGCATGTCAGATCTAGATGTTTATTTTATCTTTAAATTAAAAATGCCATCAGGTTGTCACTAAGTAACTTTGATTTTATTTAAATGCATGTATTTAGGCAAAATGTACTTTTAAATTATAGTTGCAAACAGTCTGAATGTTTTAATCATGCACTTTGAGTCAATTATCTACATTCAGAATGTATTTTCAAGTTGTTTTTACACACTATGTTAAAAAAACGATCATATGATAATAAAGACTATTTTCTTCCAAAGCTTACTGATGTGATTTTGAAAAAGCAGACCTTGAAAGGCAATAATATTTACATTATGTGAGGGCTGGATATGGGCACCAGTGACCCCCTCGACCCAGAAAGGAAGAAGCGGGTAAAGATAATGGATGGATGCTCTGTTGGCGTACATGAACTGGTTTTAATGCACAACAATGACAGGGTGCTGAGGGAGGAGGTGTATTGCATGAGGAAATCTGGAGTGGCAGAGCAATATGTTACACTGTTACAGGACATGTATGAGGACAGTGGTGAGATGTGCTGTAGGAGCGACAGATAGCTTCAAGGTGGAGGTGGGAGTGCATCAAGGATCCGCTCTGAGCCCCTTCTTGTTTACTCTAGTGATGGACTGACAACAGATGAGGTCAGGCAGGAATCCCTGTGGACTATGATGTTTGCAGATGACATGATCAGTGGTGAGAACAGGGCACAGGTGGAAGAGAGCTTGGAGAGGCGAAGGTATGCACAGCAAAGGTCAAAGAAAAAGTTTACAAGACAATGGTGAGACCAGCTATGTTGTATGGTCTGGAGACAGAGACATGAACAAAAAGGAGACAACTGGAAGTAGTAGAAATGAAGATGTTGAGGTTTTCCTTAGGAGTGACAAGGATGGAGAAGATTAGGAATGAGATCATCCGAAAGAGGCCAGACTGAGATGGTTTGGACATGTCCAGAGGAGGGACAGTGGGTATATTGGTAGAAGGATGTTAGAAATGCAGCTGCCAGGAAAAAGACAAAGAGGAGACATATGGATGCAGTTAAAGAGGACATGGAGGTAGATGGAGTGAGGACAGAGTGAGATGGAGGAGGATGATTGTCTGTGGAGACCATTGAAGAGGGAAAACCCAAAAGAAGAAAGATTTAACAGTAAAGAGCAGCTTCCAAAGCAAACATGCATTAATAAATTCAAGCAACTGCAAGTAAACCCTTATTTTCAGAAGCGGTGTTGGATCGATTTATTCTTGACATATAAAAATTTTGTGCGTTTTTCTCCAGGCCGTTCATGAACAGGCCTTTCAGTTTCATATGAGCCGTAATCCCTTCAAATCTGTCAGAGAGCTAGAATCAGTGCTTTTTCCACGGGTGGGCATAATCATACTAAAAACAGGCTTTTCCCCATTGTCACTTCTGACTTAGATGCCGGCTAACGGGTGGGTGGAGGGGGGAGAGACATGCAGCATGATTTGCTCTGATCTAGCTCAGGCTCTATAATCAGCACTGATTACTTCCTTTTACTTACCAGCTCAACGTCCCATGCATCCTAATTGCAATTAGCTGTCTTCTGAAATTAAAGCAGCTTAGAGTGTGTGTGTAACAGATGATAATATCTGCAGATGTGTGTGCACGTATGAATTCAGATGATGCCACTAACACAATGCACTTACACTGGGGGTCTCTGTTGGTAAAAGTTTGACAAAACATATTTTACAGAATATTTTAAGGGATGCTTCGTGACTACCAGCAATTTAAGAATATAAGTAATCATCATTTAACAAACACGGTAGGCTTTAAATTCCAAATGCAATGCACTCATGCTCTGCAGGCCAATAATTTATGTGGCATGTTGGGTGGACTTTCATGGCCTGCACAACGACAGTGTTGGGAGCATTTTATTTATTTACCAGTATATTTAACGGTTACATTGCAAATTCATTTTTTTTTGCTTTGATGAAAATCAAATCCGTCAAGTTTATTTGTAGAGCACATTTCAGCAACAAGGCAGTTCAAAGTGCTTTACATCATAAAAACACAAAATTAGAAGTCATAAAAACAACATATATTCAGTCACCAATTGAGAAACCAGTAACAAACATCACATTTTGTCGAGTGCCATCAGACATGTTGATCAATGTTCCATTTATTATAGTTCAGAAGAAGCTCTAAACGTGGGTTTCAGCCTTGATTTAAAGGAACTCAGTGAATGCTGCTTCTCCATGTTTGGTTCTGGTTCTGGGGATGCAGAGCAGACCAGAAGCAGAAGAAGATGAAGGCAAGGTTGGAGATTGGCCTGTAATTCTGTGATTTGTCCAGACTGTTGGTTTTATCAGTGGTTTGATAACTGCAGTTTTTAAAGCCTGGGGGGAAACACCTGATGAGAGGGATGAGTTGACTGCATGAATCAGATCAGATGCAATGACAGGCAGAACTCTCTTAAGGAAAGTTGTGGGCAGGATATCAAGACAGCAGGAGGAGGAGCTTAATTGATTTATAATTTCTTCTAAGCTTTTATAGTTGAGTAGTTTAAATTTTGTCATTATATATAGCCGTCACTGAGTACCACATTTCGAAGTGGTCTGCAAAGTTCGTAGGTTTGATCTGTTGCTGCAGACCGATGTCCCACCTGTTCAGCTGCGTGTCAGCTCAGACTCTCATGAAGAAACAAACACGTTGTGCGCTCAACAGTTTTGAACATACCGCTGGATTTTGCTTCAAAGATTGCTGCATACTCTGTCCAGGACACTACTGGTGGACCGAACAGGCAGCTACTCTGTGTGGTTGTCTGCAGTCTCACATCAGCAGGGAAGCTTCATGTAACTCACATTTAGTCTATGACGTTTAATTTGGCGGGCCCACTTCCTGTCTGGCCCCAACTCTCTAACTTTTTGTAAAGCCATGGGTCAGAGTTCACTTCCTCCTCCTTCTCCACTGTGGCTGTGGTGTGCGCTCCATTGGGCGTCTCCCAAACACATTGCTGCACTTCTTCAGATCTGCATATTGCAAACTCAAATACATGGTGAGCCTGATGTCTTGTAGCAATATTGTTCGTGATTAAGACAACTGTGTGATTGCTCATTGAAGTGTTTTACCAGAATTGCCGGTGGTTCTAATTCAAAACTCCAGTGGGATTCTGCCATTATTAGCCACCAGGCCGCACATGGAGGCCAAGCACTCCTCACTCAGCTGAAGAGGTAAAACAGTTGTGTTTTGGATATAATGGAAGCTGAATTGTGAACACTGGTCTGATGTATGCACCCAATTGTTGTTTGATGCATTACTTATGTTTTGTGCGTGTTTTTGAACTCTTTTATTGCAGCGCACACAGAAGAGGTGCTCGTCTTTTGTCTGCTTCTCCCTGCCTCGTTCCTGTCCTCTGCTTTCCGTGAGCCAGGACCGCTTGTGTATTCGTTATACATTTGAAAATGAATTGCTCCGAAGTTCCTCATCAGAGTCTGAATATTATAGAAGTTCAATAATAATAATAATAGTAAAAATTGAATGCAAAATGAAAAACCACACAGTTGTTTAGAATTAATCTAAACAGACAGGTTGATCAAAAAGTTTTCCTCTTTTTTTGCGACTCTTCAGATTAATAAAATGTATCCAAAATACATAGTTGTGCTGGTATTTGAGCAAAACCATCGTTCTTTTTTGTCTCCGTTTGTGAGTTCAGTTTGTGTCTCAGTAATCCCTGATATTAATCCTCTTAGACTCTTTACTATTATTACACAGTTAAATTACAGCCCAGTGGTTTTTTTTTTTTTTTGGTTTTGAGGCAGCAAATCATACATTTGAGCGTTTGAGCATCTCTTTTGTTGGAAGAGCTTCCAAGCATCTTATTCTTTATTTATCTATTTTATTAACCTTTTATTTAATCAGGCAAACCCCATTGAGATCACAGATCTCTTTTGCAAGGGAGGCCAGTGCCTGAAGGCAGACTAGCCTGCTGAATAAAGTGTCAAAATCTGTCCTTTTAACTGTGGTCTTTGTGTTTCTCCTCTCCATTCATCCATCCATTCATCCTTCCATCCACTTGACCCACTTCTTCCTTTTCGGATCGTGTGGGTCACTGGTGTCCATATCCAGCAGTCACTGCGAGAGGTGGGGGACACCGTGGACAGGTCCAGGTCCATCACAGAGCTGTTTCTCCTTTATTTCCTTTTCTGATCCTTGTGTTTGTCTCCATCATGTGGTCTGTCCTAGCTGTTGCTTCCTCATCAAGTCCCTGCCTCCTTCACCTGTTGTCCCTTCCAGCTGTTTGTCATTTGT